TCAACAACACTCTCCTCTTGTGCTGAGTAGACAGTGACAAGGAAAAGAGTGAGAACACTCACAGTACCACCTCATTCCAGATGCTTCTAAATGCACCATTATTTCATTTTAAACCTCCGGGCAACTCCAACAGTAGCTATCATTAAGCTCGTATTTTACCAAAGACACAGAACAAAGAAATGCCAATATAGGATTCAGGTACAGGCCCGCCTGCGGGCATCCCACCGGCCCCCCAAAAACCCCAGCCTTCGGACATTCACCCTGAGGCACGGCCGGCCCTCCTCCCGAGTCTGAGCTCTGTGGGGGAAAACTGCCTTTTACTGACTTATATCTACCACAGAACACATCTCTCACCAGATGTACTAGAAAGTTTCATTTTATCAAGTTTCACTTTATTTTTGGAAGGTTTTTAAAATAAAGTGAATCTGTAATTAAGAGGCTGGCCCACAACAATATATAGCAGTTGACCCCAAGAGGATGGTTCAGGCAACTGAAGGGTAGGTGGGCAGACACTTCCTGTGACTCCTGCCCACTTTGGGTTAATGTGCCTGTGGCCTATCTGTGGCAATGCTGTGGGACATTTCACAGGCCATAAAGTCCAGTGGCCAGGATGAGGACTTCAAGCTTCCCAGCCTCCCCAGGCTCATTCCAGGGAGAGTCTTGCTGAGGGAGAGACTCCTGGGACCTTCCACCTGTGGGACAGGAGAGTGACACAGTATGGTTAACAAGTCAGCCTGCCTTGCTCCTGTCCTCAGAGGATCTGAAGCTGTGACCTGGTAACATCTCAGGAAATTCTGGTGACCTAAGATTGGTCCAAATGAAGCTGTCCTCAAGTGAGTCCCTGAGGTGGAGGGGCAAGTCCTAGATGTAGCCACACATGAAGGGGTCTGTGGGCAGGGGTTCTGAGGAGAGGATGGGGGTGAGGAAAACATCTTCTTTCTCATAAGACCACTGTCATAAGAAGATATCACATTGCCTAGCCCACTCAAGAGAAAGTCCTAGAAAAAACAAACTTAGTGTCCACACACCATCTCATACCCATTAGGATGGCTGCTATCCCAAAACAAACCCAAACAGAAATTACAAGTGCTGACAAGGATGTAGAGAAATTAGAACCCTTATGCACTGTTGGTAGGATTATAAAAGCTTCTGTGGAAAACAATATAGCAGTTCCTCAAAAAATTGAAAATAGAATGACCACACAACCCAGCCATCCACTTCTGGGTACATGCTCAAAAGAGCTGAAAGCAGGTCTCAAAGCAATATTTGCACACCCATGTTTATAGCTGCACTATTCACAATAACTAAATTGTGAAGGCAACCCGAGTGTCTATGGATGGATGAATGATAAACAAAATCGGTACGTGCTCATAATGGAATACCATTCGGCCTTAAAAAGGAAGGAAAATCTGACACGTGCTGCAACATGGATGAATCTTAAGGACATGACGCTCAGTGAAAGAGAGTTGTCAGATTCATAGAGACAGAGAGTCAAATGGCAGTTGCCATTTGTGGGGAGAAGGCAATGGGGAGTTAGTGCTTAATGGGGGCAGTTTCAGTTTCACAAGGGCGGAACTTAGGAGATGGGTGGTGATGATGGTTACACAACATGAATGTGTTAAATACCACGGAACTATATACTTAACAATGGTTAAGGTGGCAGGGTGCCTGGGTGGTTCAGTCAGTTAAGCATCGACTTCGGCTCAGGTCATGATCTCGCGGTTCGTGAGTTCAAGCCCCATGTCAGGCTCTGTGCTGACAGCTCAGAGCCTGGGGCCTGCTTTGGATTCTGTGTCTCCTCTCTCTCTGCCCCTCCTTTGCTCACATTCTCTCTCTCTCTCTCTCTCTCTTAAAAATAGATGAACATTTAAAAAAATTTTTTTTAAATGGTTAAGATGGCAATTTTTTTTTATTCTCAAGTTAGTTAACATACAGTGCAGTCTTGGCTTCAGGGGTAGAAGCCAGTGATTCATCTCTTAGATATGACACCCAGGGCTCATCCCAACAAGTACCCTCCGTAATGCCAAGATGGCAATTTTTATGTTATATGTATTTTAGTGCAATTTTTTTAAGTGTCCACATATATTAAAATTAGAAGTGCCCACCCAGTCCTTACTGACCAGATTGCACTTCTTGTTTTGCTGGGATGTGTCTCCTCTTCAGCTTCATATCAAGCTGATGCCAGTTTTATTACCGGTAGGGTGCGATTCAGACCGACTTTCCTCCAGAGAATCTAGGATGGACGCAAGAAGCTGGCAACTTGTCAGTACCAAAGAACAGGAAACTAAGTCACCGACGGTTCAGAAGGTGTTGGCTCTGCCCCTCAGCTAGGCCCCGCAGGACTCTGGGAGGGGGCACCCCTGCCCTCTGGGAGGGGCCTGGGGTCTCTCCTTCTGAAACTGGCCATTTTGGGAAAAGAGGAAAGGGCAGACTAGACCAAGGACCAGGTGACAGTCCACAAAATGTGTTATCATTGTCCTTCCAGGTTCTAAATGTTTCTTTCTATGACTCACAAAGGTTAACCGGGAGGCTCGTGAATTAAAAACCCGCAGGGTTTTCCTTTTATAGACTGTCCTCAGGAGACCTCTCACTGAGTGTTCCCTCTGTCCTCATCCCCAACTGGCAGCTGCACTTAGCATGTGTGTTTACAGAAATACCAGTAGTTATTGCATGTTCCTCTCCATGTGATTAAGCATTGCCATAAAGCCCAGGCTGGATTAGAAATAGATCTTTTCCTTCTGAGGAAGGCTGAAAAGAGCATAGCTGGCGGCGGTGGCGGCAGTGTGCATCTTGCGCCACCCACTGGCCACTGTTGGGATCGCAAGGCAAAAGCCGAAGGCCTGGTCAGGGCTTTGGCACCTGCCAATGAACCGACCAGAAACACTGCCCCACCCACCCTGCAGGGTGGAGGGTGACTGGGAAATCCCACCAATCAACTGCCCCACACTGGAACCTATCTCCAGACTTGTGCTCCCTACTTTGGTAGCTCCAATCACCTGATCTATTATAGAAGGAAACAGTCCGTTGAGTCTCTTGCTCCCAGGAGAGGGCACTTCAGGACAAGACAAGGGGAACTTCTATCGTGGAATTATTATACACGTGTTCAGACTTGAAGATGAGGGACTACACCTCACTATGGCTTGCAACTTTGTAGTATTTGCCAGGTAGCGTTTGACAGAATGTTTTGATCCTTTGATCCTCATAACAGCTGTATGAGATACATTCTATTATTCTTATTTTAGAGGTGAGGAAACCAAGAGGTTCAATCGCTGGATTAAACAGCTTCCTAACACACAGAGGGAAAGGTCAGGGTACCTGTTGGGAAGAGGAACTATAACATAACGGTTCTTTTTTTTTTTTTTTTTTTTTTCTTTGTCTGTCTTCCAAAGCCAACACACCAATATACAGACATCCAAGTACTGCGTTAACAGTGTGGAAGATCCTGTTTGAAAGTTCCACAGGCAAATGAACATCCCCAGTTTGGCAGCCACTGCTTCATTTCTTGGTTCATTTCAACAAATATGAATTGACCACCTTCTGGGGCCCAGACTGAGCAGCTGGTGGAAACTACTTCATCACCTACCTTACGGTAGGGGCACTCTGGATGCCAGAAAACTAATTTTAACTAGTGGAGACCTGCCATCACTGGAGATATTCACATTCTGAAGCCCATTCACAAAGCGTCTGGAGCCATTATGAGGCCACATACGTAAAATCTCCGAGAGTGACCACTTCAAACAGGATGACATCCATGGAAGTGTGTGGCCTAATGTGTTCATTAAAAAAATAATAATAATAGTGTCCTGTTTAGAGTCACACATGACATTTTAGGAAAAGAACTCATTGTCAGGACAACCTTCCTAGAAACAGCAGGAGATCCAGCCCTTTAGAAACAGGATTCTAGAAACTGTCTCCCCACCAACCCTAAACCCCACTCTGCTCCCTCCTTCCTATATGGTCCCAGATAACCATCCTGCAACATGCCTAGTCTGTCCTGAAAAGAAAGAAGGAAAATGCAGTATGATCCCACTGCTAACCACTGGCATTTTTAAGAGTATGTCTTACTCTAAAGAAGGAAGGAAGCCTCCAGTTTAATATGAGGTAGAGTGACAATGCCTCCATGTCTTGTAATCCACCTGACTGAGGAAGGGAAGCCTGCTGTACAGTCGCCCTGCAAAAAGAGCCCAGATGACATCAGCAAACAGAACCCAACTTTTAAGAGAAAATCCAGATTACTTGTTTGGGAGCTCCTTACACTCAGTTTTTTAATATCAATTACAAAAAACAAAAACAAGTATTTTTAAACCCTCATCTATACTTCTCTGTGGTTTTAATTTTTTTTTTTTTTTTATCTATTTATTTGGAGAGAGACAGAGACAGCATGACCAGGGGAGGGGGAGAGAGAGAGAATCCCAAGCAGGCTCCGTGATACCAGCACAGAGCCCAGTGTGGGGCTTGAACCCACAAAAGCATGAGATCATGACCTGAGCCAAAACCAAGAGTCAGACACTTAACTGACTGAGCTACACAGGCACCCCCTCTCTGTGGTTTTAGAAAGGACTATTCCTAACAGAGATGACCACACTCTGAAGAAACTGAGCAGGGAATTTTTTTGGCTGGCTTCATATAGTGAAGTCGCCTGAGAATTCAGTCACTCATTTACTAGGCACCTACTATGTGCCAGTAATTGTTCTAGGCAATTAGGATACTTCAATGAACAAAAGAGATAAAGACGCTTGCCATTGAGGAGGTTATATTCTAAGAGAGGGAGACAGATCATAAGCTCTAATCAGAAGTTATATCGCATATAGTAAAAGCTGGTACGTGCCACGGAGAAGGAAAGAACAGAGTAAGGACAATCAGGAGAGGAGGGCCAGTCAAGATGGAGGGAGTTATAATTAAATTTCACATAGAGCGGTCAGGGTCGGCCGTTGAGGAAGTGACGTTTGAGCAGAGACTAGGCTTATTTAATGTTGGACCAGGCACTATGCAGACGAAGCATGAGAACAGACGAGTCTGGGAGCAGCCAGAAGATTCCAACAATGCGATTTGCTGAGGAGCCACCAACAGGGTTAGGCACAAAATTTAGGAAGAGCGACCGGAAAGCTCTAAGATTGGAGACTTTGCAACAGACCTGATGGTGATGAAATAGGGAACCTGCCCAGAAAGTCCCTAAGGGTCGGGCCTTTGAGTGGCCTTAACCAAAGCTGCAACACGCCGCTCATGACCCAGTGACACACTGCGGGTGGCGTCAACACTCACCCCTGTATCCTTTGCGACAATGGAGGAAAACACATTTGGTGTTAGAAAAATCAGAAAAAAACGTTGCTGCTCACCAGTAAAATCTTTTCCGCAAAGAGACTCCACATGTGCAGCACCATGTCTGGAAGCTCTCCAGGCAATAATCTGGGGCCATCACAGGCCTCACTTCATCTGTTTCCCTTCTCTCAGAGACCACTCATCTGCACTGCCTCACATCCGATGTCTTGAAGTCTGACTTGGTTTTTTCTATTTAGTTATCTCAGGGGGGAGGGTAAATTCTGTCCCTATTTACTTCACTTATGTGAAAGCACAAGCGCGGAGAGCAGTGACTCTTGAAGTTTGAGAACTGGATTAGAACTGTAGACCCTCTGGTTGTCAACCACTGAGGGGACACTCCCCAGTCAGGAGAGCTCTCGAGCTCCCCAGCACATGGTTATTCTTTATGTGTGTCATAGATCGATGGTGGGCCCGTCCGTTCCTTCCTGCCCCTGTCGTTACACATCCACGTCCTTGTCATGGCCTCATGGTGGGTGGAGTATATTTCCCCATGCTGGAAATATGGAGCTGGGCTCTGACTTGCAGCCCGACAAAAGCTGGGGTTTGCCATGTGCTCCCCAGCTGGTCTTGAACAATCACAGCAGCCAGAACACCCATCTCCCTGGACTCTGCAGAGTGAGTTTCTCCACTCAGCCCTGAGGGGTGTTTCCTGCAGAAGGTTGTGAGGACTGTCAGCTGGACGAACGGGGGAAATGTCGTTCAGAGCAAGTCTGGGTTAAGATACTGAGTGTGGCTTGGTCTCAAATGCACTGCACTAAGTAGAAGAATTAAAAATAATTTGGTACTTGTCTGAAAGCTCTGGTCACTAGTAGGATTCAACTTGTCTCCCCTAACAAGATAATCTCGCTAAAGCAAAAATAAGGTGTCCCTCACCGGGAGGATGGGCAGCCTTGATGTAAAGACTCTGTTAAGAGGATGAAAAGACAAACTACAGACTGGTAGAAAACATAGTAAAACCTTGGATTGCGAGTAACTCGTTCTGCAAGTGTTCCTTAAGACAAGCAAACATTTCTAGTAAATTTTAATTTGATAAACGAGAGTGATGTCTTGCAATATGAATAGTACGTGACAGCGAATGTCACATGATCACAACTGAGCCAAAGTTTCTTTTCTCTCTCTCTCTCTCTCTCTCTCTCTCTCTCTTTCTCTGCAGGATTGCGGGTGATCATCTCCCATGCTCAGATGCTCTGTCTCAGGCCACAGTGTTCGGCAGAAATCAGTGATTTTTCAGAACGTTGGAAGGTGCCCACAGCTGGCACTAGTGTATTTTTTGTCACTCCAAAGCACCTATGGACAGGCCTTTGCTTTTCCATACAAGAGTGAACTTAGCAATGCTCTGCTTCATTCTAGGCCATTAGATAGGTTCCTTGTTAAAGTTGCACAAAAAGAAAAAGATTCCATTGAGTCAATAGATAGTAATGATTCTGTTAGTGATAGTGAAAGTCGTCCAACACAATAACCCTCCTCTCTCTTGTCTCCCAGCCACGAAAGTTTTCAAAGGTTTTCAAAGGTGAGTGCAGGTTAATTTATTTTTCTTTATATTTTGTACTTTCTTTCTTATTTTGTATTATATTACAGTATGTAATCATTTTTATATGAATATTTTTGGGTGCTAGAACGAATCATCTGAGTTTCCATTATTTCTTATGGGGAAATTCACTTTGATATGCAAGTGCTTTGGATTACAAGTATGTTTCCAGAATGAATCATGCTCACAAACCAAGGTTTTACTATATTTGCAAACCATGGATCTTACAAAGGACTTGTATCCAGAATACATAAAAAGCTCTCAAAATGCAATAGTAAAGAAGGAAACAATTCAATTTCACCAGAGGATATACAGATGGCAAATACATGCGAAAAAGATGTTCAAAATGATGCGTGACTATGTGAATTACTTTTATTATGGATGAGGAACTAATCAGCTTTCAAGTTTGTGCTTTCTCAGTTTTTAATATGTGGATGCATTGCTTTCATTGGGAATCATTAATCGATTTGATTAAACACAAGATGAGTTTCAAAGCAGAGAGAATGTTGGGATAAGAGGAGGTTGAGTCCAGTCCTCTGGCTTGGATACTAACTCCCCTCCCCTTGAGGCCCATCGCCTTTTCCTCGAGCACCTTTTATAGACCAAAGAGCAGCTCCTAGTGGAATGGTGTGATGTCATCAGTGACTTGGGGCAAGGGCTCTGGAATCTTAGAAGCCATTTGATCTCAAACACCTGGCTACAGTCAGTGTTCTCACACTGTTCTGAGGCTGTGCTCTGAGTAAGTGTGAGGGGCCTAGATCCTGAGAGAGCCAGGACGTGTGTTCTGGGTGAGTGTTGCTCATTCCTGTACTAGACTGGTGTGTAAGACCATCCAGCTTGGCCCTCATGGAAAGGTAACTGAGACTCAACTATCACTGCCCCTGGCCATTCTTCCCTTGAGCACTGGTCAGACCACAAGTTCTAATCCCAAATCCAAAGTGCTCTAGCCACAGTCAAGGAACACATCCTAGACAAGTTAAGTCACCATTTTCTCATCTGTAAATCAGGTAAGCTATACATCTCACCTTACAGATCATTATAAGGATTGAATGAGGTCATTCTCTATGTATTATTGATCAATACTGGAAGTTCAACAAGCAATCAATAACTGTTAGCTATTTTTACCATTCTAATAATTATCAGGTTTCACAAGGAGCAGGTTAAGCAAACAGAAATGGCCAGTCAGAATCAGGTTGATCCCTTCCCTCTTTTTGTATGCAGAGAAGACAGGACCCCTCTGGGCCCCACATCGGCTGCCTCAGAGACTGCTCCAAGCCAACAGGACGCAGCAAAGAAGAGTCAGAAGAAAAGGGTGTGCATGGAAGGGAAGGCAGGTGTGCGTGGTCATCTGGCCTCTAACCCTGGTTTCAGAATGAATGAAACTGATAGAAGACCATAGCTCCTCTCTCCTTCCTCCTCTCTACTCTCATGTGTTTGGATCTGCATGGGCAGGAGAAAGGGTGTTCAGGGTGAGACAGGGAGGTCACTATCATGTTCACTTTTATACCTATTAAAGACAGCTAGGACTAGAGAACTTCCCCCAGGCAGAATGATCCATGGAAAGAGGCACAGGAGAGTAGATTTTGCCTGGCAAAGAAAGGGAAATAATAGCTCAATTCCTACCCTCCTTTATAGACAAGGGCAAAGGGGTGATGGTCATTCTCTTATCCCTTCAGATGTCACATGCAAAATTCTCAAGGTGAGTGGGCAAGGAAGGGCCTCGCATTTCCCGGGTGGGCCCCCTATGATGACACAGGGTCCTTCCTTTCTCTCTGCAGCTCCACAGAATAGGAGCCCTCTGGCCTCCAGTTCTGCATCTTCAGAGGTTGTCCCTGAGCAGAGAGCCAGGACAATGAGAGGCCAGAAGAAGAGGAGATGGACGGATGTGAAGGCAGGTATGTGTCCCTAGGCATCCCTCAGCTTCCCTGCACCAAGCATCAACTAATGCCGAGTAAATCACTTGTTATCTTATCTTCACAAGGCTGGGTCCAGTCTTCAGAGTGAGCTGCAATGAAAGGACCCCACTTCTCAGGTGGGTCACATCCACACACTCCGAATGACCGAGTCTGTTGTTCCCGCAGGGACCCAGGAGAGAAGTGCCCCGGCCTCCAATTCCACCACCTCTGAAGCTCTCTCTGAGCTGAAGTCCTGGAAGAAGAGGGGGCAGAAGAACATATGGACTGTCAATCATGTTGAGGGGACAAAACTCAGGATGAACAAGAGGAGAAGACCCAGTTACCGTCCTGAAGACCAAGAAGCATTCTACCGACTTCTGGGTGTGTGCTCTGGGCTGACGGAGCGTTCAGGGCCCTGCTGAGCTGAAAATCATGTGGGAGGCAGTGGCTCTGGGATCGTGCTCAAACCTCCCCCAGGTGCTAAGCTCTAAGGTGTCCAGGTGGTGTGGACACAGAGCGACCCTGCTTCTTCTGTGGAGTTGGCAGTTTCTTCCTCTCTGAGACAAGTTCTTGGAGGGAGAGGATGAAGGGTCACACTAGGGAGTCCTCAACTGTCAAGACATTTCACAACCAACCAAGGGGTCCCTCCTCTACCCACTGAGATAGAGTCATGTATTCCCTGCAAGTAAGATTTTAGAGATTAGTGATGAAAAGGCAACCTAGATCTTGCTGCCTTGGTGTTCAAGGTCGGGGAGACAAAAAACAACCTCATACAGAAATAGGCTGCTCTCAGCCAATGACAAACGCGAAGACATAAATTTTTTCAAAGGCAATGATGCCTGGAGATGGGGCCTGAGCAAGGATAGGGGAGCTTTATGAAATGGAGTACTCAGGGAAGGTCTGTCTGAGAAGGTGGCATCAGGACCAGAGGCAGGACTGAGTGTCACATATTTAGGGACAACACTGAGATCACATTGTCCAATACAGCATTCATTAGCCACATGGAGCTATTTAAATGTCATTTTAAGTGAATTCAATAAGCTTTTAAAATTCAGTTTCTCGATCTCATGAGCCACATTTCAAGAGTGTGGTAGCCACCCATGCCTAATGGCTGCCATATTGAACAATACAGATATAGAACATTGTCATCATCACAGAACATTCTACTGAAGAGATCCAGACTGACTGGAGAGGGGTCAAGGAGCACGAAATGATCCATGACTCCTCCATCCCCACTGTGCAAATATCATTGTCCCAGGCAAGGAATGGGGGATACACAGCACTGGACATTCTCAGGTCTTCACTGGAAAATGGGGCCTCCAGGGGACACCTCTAATCCCCAACAAGCCTTCTGGGAGCAGGGGAAGCCATATCATTATCTTTGGGAAGCAGGCAGATCCAGGAGAGAAGGGGCAGGTGCCTAGTGCCTCGGGTTGGAGGGTGGGGAGGCTGCAAACTCACCACCACAGGCTCAGGGTGCTCAGTTAATCAGGTGGGGCAGGGAAACTCTGGACAGTCACAGCATGATAAAGTGACAAGGATGTGGTGTCACAGAGACCCATGGCCACATGCAAGCTTCTGGCTTGAGGCAAATTTGTTAAGCTTTGAGAGCCGGGTCACATCTCTGTGATTAAAAAAAAAAAAAAAAAAAAAAAAAAAAAAAAAAAAAAAATGTGCCCCCTGCCATCACATGGAAGATTAAATTATAATAGCAAACTCCATGCCCCACATTTGAAACTCACAATACAGGTGCCAGTGGAAGGAATAGCAGCTATTACTAATGTTAAGGCTCATAAGCCTCCTGGAAGAAAGGAGGCTGCCTCCACTTCCATGAGACAAAGGAACCTGGAGAGGCTCCGGTTTTCCTCCTTCCCTCTGGGATGTCCCACAGCCCTTCACTCACATCTCCCAGAAGGGTTGCCCCAAGGCCCTCATCACTTTCCCTTCCTTTGCAGAGGATCCTGTTATCCAGAGCTTCTTGGAAGCTGACATTTTCCTCAAAGTGTCTGATAAGGTATCTGCTGCATAATGATGAGGGACCGAGGGGTCTACAGAGTCCCCACCCCATGAGGGCAAGAACAGAGAGCCAGATTTCTGCCCAGGCAGGAGAAGGCCTAGAGAGATCTGCTCTCAGTGCCAGAGAAGGAAAGGACACACTGCCCGTGGCCTGCCCTGCCCACTGGAATCTTCTGCTGGCCTTCCCGTCGGCTCCCCTCCACATGCCAAAGGGACTCAGCACAGCCTCCCTCCTCCACCTCTGCTGAGGGTTTCCCACTATGGCCGTTGGATGGGGCAGGACCCATGGCCTGTGCAGGACACTCTCACCCTTCTATTCACCCCTCACCTGCCTTCTACTCCACACAGTACCTGCTTTCCATGGTGGTGGAATATTTTGGCCGTGTCGGGCTGCCTGGACACCTCTACAACAGGATCCACTTCTTCCTGGCCCTGTGAGTGCCTCCCTGGGGGCCTGTTCTCAGTTCTGCCCAAACCCCCCATTCCCACAGCCTCACCAGCCCACCTGGGTGCGTGGCCATGCTATGAGCCAGAGAGTCCCCACTGGTAGTCCCTCTTGGCCGCAGACCAGACAAAAGGTCTTCAGGGGTCAGACATTCTTGGGGGAGAGGAAGGCAATGAGCAAGGTCCTGTGATAAAGAAGAGTCAGGAAACACCACTGGCTGCTCAGAGACTGCGTGACCCAAGAGAGGAGGCCACAGGGAAATGGCAGACAGCCAGAACCTTGACTCGGGCCAGGCACAGCATGGGTCCTGTAGGCTTAGTGTTGAGGATAGTCCTGCTGTCCCTCTGGACCCAGGCGCCCTGCAGAGAGGGCTTCCCGGACCCTCCCTCCTGGATAGACCAACCCAGGCACCGGGTCCTCCGGTGTGGCCTCCGCAGACTCTCCCCACTGTGCTGCCTGAGGCTGGCTGTGGGCACTGGGGCCTGCCAAGCTTCCCTGCTTTTCCCATGGCAGCTACATTGCCTCCGACATGGAGGAGGACAACCCCACATCCAAACGGAGCATCTTCCAGTTCCTGCTGGGCAGGGAGCACTGGCCGGAACTCTACAAGGAGTTCCTGAAGCTGAAGGTGGAGTTCTTCCATGCAATGGGGCACCGAGCCTGGGTCACCCCGGAGTTGTGTGAGGAGGTCTGTGGGGGGACGAGGGCCAGGAGGCACAGCCCAGAGGCAGTGGGGCTGGGTCCTTTCTCCAAGTGCTTACGTTGCTGTTTCCCTTTCAGATCCAGGCCCAGAACCCACATCACTGGGTCTGGAGTCGGGCACGCCAGTGCGCCCCCTAGGTCCCCAGGGAACAGAACGGGGGCTGCAGGTGGTCCCGGTGAGTGCCCCGGGGCTCTGCAGGGTTGGACAACCCCACCCTCCATGCCCTTGCGGTCACCTCCTAGGCTGGCATGAAGAGGAAGCAGTATAGCATCCCTTAATGCATATTAGCATAGTAAGGGCTCTGAGAACTCCTGTGGTAAAGTAAGTAATTACCTGTGCTTATATTAAAATTCTCCAAATGATTTTCATTATGGAATCATGTAAGCAACACAAGATCCAAATTTGCATATCAAAAAATTTTTTTGGAAAGCTCCTGGAAATGCTGATCTAAGTAATGAAAACTTCTGCAGGGTTTTCGACCTGAGTTGCCAATTTTTAAACATAAATAAATGGAAGACACTGAAGTCATCCTTTCTGGAAAAGGGGCTGTTACCCTGGTGGCTCTTGGGAGGAAAGACAGATTATTTCCAGCATGTGATCAAAAGTGGTATTTGTTTTGCTCCCACATGAAGCAAGCCTAGTAGCTGGGTCCCTGAAGGATATGTCAGGGTCTCACCATGTCATGGACAGAAGGAGTTCCCAGGGCTCCTGGTCTCTGCAGAAATAAAATTGCTGGGGGGGGGGGGGGGGGGGGGGGGGGAACAAGCCCACAGAACTGTGAGGAAGTACACCATAGATGACACATTTATAGAAAACAATCACTTGACTAGCATCCACTCTTTAGAATATGTTTTCTTTAGTTTAAATTTAGTTTTTATATTTGGGTTTACTTGAAGTCAGGGGAGATCTTCGGTGAAATGCATCAGGAATCCTTTGCCTGGGGACATGGCTATACTAGAATAATCTTGTGAACTGAGCTCCCCCCTCCCCTCTTTGCAGGATGTGATGGAGCCTATTCTCATCCTACGAGAAAGAAGGTCAAGTGTGCTTTGTGATAAACCAAGTTTAGGATAAAGTTTAATTCATCCACAGGCTTTTTCCTTGAGGACAAACAACTATTATATATGTCAGAACCTCAATATGCCAAAGAATGACTGCCACAATAAAAAGGAGACAAATAATGTGTACTGGGGCTGCTCTTGGGTCTGGTCACTTGTAAGAGCAATGAGGGTGGCAGTTGATTTTGCCTGAGCCCCTTTCCAACATGCACCTTGTGGTGAGCTGATGAGAACTTCCTCACTCGAGAGTTTGCCTCTTCCACTCCGATCTCGCTTTCTTTTCTTGTAGCTCCCGCCCAACCCCTGCCTCCCCCTGCCCCGACACCAAGCTGCTGCCTCCTTCGCAGCCTCTGGGAGCTACACAGGGATAGCATCGGGCCTCCAGCTTTCGCAGGAAAGAGGGTGCAGGGAGAGCCAGGACCACCGCAGCCTGAATAGCACGGTGACCCTCCAACCTTCCAGTGGGTGTCAGCCAGCAAAGGCCCTGACCCCTGGATAACCTGGAAGGGTACAGTAGTAACATGGAGGGGAGACCAAAAGAGTCAACATGCCAGAGAAGGAGCCTCTACAGAGACTGAGGCCAGGCAGAGGGAGAGGGACAGAAAGTCCGGGAAGAGACCTGGACCACTGAGGAGGAAGTGAAGGAAGAGGCCAAAGAAACCACTAGAAGATGGTGAGGAAAAGAGGAGGAGACAGGAAGGGGAGAAACACATTGGGAGAGAGGATGCAGAGAGGCCGTTGTAGACAATCAGCATCTTGGGGACAGTTGTCCTTGGAGCCCTTCCTGACAATCTGCTAGAAAACAGCTTTACCCAATGAAGAGACGGTAGGGAACTCCAGAGAGCAGACCAGCAGAGGCACGGAGGGCATTGATGTGTGGATCTAAGGCTGAAACAAGAGTGGGAGTAAGAGGGGGGAGTCCTATGCCATCATACACTCTGACATTATAGAAATAACCCAAATTTCAAAGTGAGATAAGGGAGAGAAGGGAGTGGGCTCATGAACAGCTGCCTGGGGGAGAGGTGGGGAGGTCCCAGGGTGCCATTGAGGCCAGAAACAAGGCAGTGGAAGCCGAGGTAAAAAAAAAAAAAGAGGGAGTCCTATGAAGATATTAGAGTTAAATGTATTCACAAAACAGAAGCCATCCTGAATGCCACATTAATGAATATGACAAATTTTAAGAGAGCAAACAAAACAGATCAAATAATGATACATGATAAATAGAAGAAATACAGTAGAAATATAAAAAATGAGGCTCAACTGAGATCAAATTATTTGTATTAATAAATCTGAATTAATAAACCTGAAGAAAAAGATTTTCAGATTGATTCGCAAAGCAAAACCCAGCTCTCTGACATTATCCTTAAATCATTCAGAGGTGCTAACAATAAGGTGAGGGGCAGGGGTATACCATGCAAACGCCCTCAAATGAGGGTAGGGATTGTGATCTTGATACCACGGAAGGAACACTCAGGTGCAAAACCCTTCAGACACTAAGAAGGATACTTGGGATGGGGATGAGGGGCAGGAACTGGGGGTCGGTGCCCAGCATTACAGGCACTCCACAGGCCTTGGGTGGTCCACTGCAGCTCGATTTGCTCAGTGATGTTCACAGATTTTACAGTCCTCTCGATGGGTGGGTGGGTAGGTAGGTAGGTAGGTAGGTAGGTAGGTAGATAAACAGACACATATATTGATACATATGTATAGCTACTTTAGATAGGAAATCTAATTATTAGATAGTAATTACAATTACCAAAAACCATCTACCTCTTTACTGTCTTTTTCCCATGGAAATGACTGATTTTGCCACGAAATTTCTGATAACTACAAGGTTCCCAGGAACTTCACAGTCAAGCCATAAGAAGCTAACTCCTTTCAGGAAGTAATATGGTGGCTGTTCAACCCTCTCTACCCCACGAGCACTTAGCATTTTCTTCTTGCTGAGAAAAGAAGCATTTGCGGGGTGCCTGGGTGGCTCAGTCAGTTAAGCATCCGATTTCGGCTCAGGTCATGATCTCATGGTTTGTGAGTTCGAGCCCTGCGTCAGGATCTGTGCTGACAGCTCAGAGCCTGGAGCCTGTTTCAGATTCTGTGTCTCCCTCTCTCTCTGACCCTCCCCCGTTCATGCTCTGTCTCTCTCTGTCTCAAAAGTAAAT